TGTTTTCCTGCCCCGCCCCCCCTTTCCCCCCGGTCGTTTCTCGTCCCTCAGTACATTCATCACCACGAGCTAGCAAAGTGGCAGCGCCAAGCCCACAACATGTGCCTGGCGACGTTCGGCAAAGGCGAGCTGTTGGTGGAGACCGACTTTATCGAAAAGTACAAGCACGAGGCTGGCGCTGTCTTGACGTGCGTCACTACGCCCTCCACGACCATGATGGTGGCTCTAGTTCACCACGGGGTAGACTTGGAGGAAGTCGGCTGCGGCTTGGGTGTTGTGAATGCGCTGGCCCCTTTTCTCCGCTTCTCGCAGCAGAGCCTTCAGCAACCTCCCGACTTGTCCTGACGACGACGGTCAGCATGAGACAGACGCATGGGTATTCGTATCGAGTGACCCCAACCATGACTTCGATTTCCACATCTACGCCATGGACATCATCCTTCGGTACTACATCACGGGGGATGGGCGGGCCGCTACTGCTGGAACACCGGTCCCCACGGTGCACATCTTCACCGACGGGTGCGCCAAACAGTACAAGGGGAAGCGCAACTTTTACGCTGTGGCCAAGAGCTTGCACAGGCTTGGTAACGTCCTCATCCACAACTTCGCGGTCACGTCGCACTTCAAAGGCGCCCACGATGGCATCGGGGGGTTGCTGAAGGCTCTGCTGCGAGAAGTGGAGAAAAGGGGCCAGCGCATTCACAACACCCAAGCCGCAGCCGACTTCCTCCAGGTCTACCCCGAGGCAAAGGAGGATGGAGGAGGTCACTTTTCAAGCTGGTCCCCCTACCGGACCAAGAGGTTCCACATCAAGCTTCTTGGATACCGAGAGATCACTCGCCCGTTCGTAGATTTGACGGGCATCTCTGGGAGTTCCAAGCAGCACCAGTTCATGGGAGCGGAGGTCCAGGAGGAGGAGAGCTCGGGCGTAGGCGTAGAGGTGCAGTTAGAGAACGACGTTCCCCTCGTAGGTGGCGAGAAAGAGGTTGTAGCTAACCCGCAGAGATGGCAGGCGGACGAATCAACCGTTCTGACGCTTCTGGCTGTCACGAAGCGATACAAGCTACGCGTTCGCCAGGCGTCGTGCCACCGCTCGAAGTGTAGTGTTGGAGCTTACAACGACTGCGTCCCGGCCAAGAAGTACGCGGGGATGGTGGGTATGGTGAAGGCTGTGTCGGGCAAGCACAAGGTTACTCGGGCGTCTTGTGGTGTAGGGAATTGAGGGGTGTCCGTGGTGCACGTCATGTTCTCGTGTTTGGGTAGTTTTGTTGCAGTTTTAGTCTAGTTTTTGTACTTTTTTTGTTGCTGTGTGCTNCCAAGAGGTTCCACATCAAGCTTCTTGGATACCGAGAGATCACTCGCCCGTTCGTAGATTTGACGGGCATCTCTGGGAGTTCCAAGCAGCACCAGTTCATGGGAGCGGAGGTCCAGGAGGAGGAGAGCTCGGGCGTAGGCGTAGAGGTGCAGTTAGAGAACGACGTTCCCCTCGTAGGTGGCGAGAAAGAGGTTGTAGCTAACCCGCAGAGATGGCAGGCGGACGAATCAACCGTTCTGACGCTTCTGGCTGTCACGAAGCGATACAAGCTACGCGTTCGCCAGGCGTCGTGCCACCGCTCGAAGTGTAGTGTTGGAGCTTACAACGACTGCGTCCCGGCCAAGAAGTACGCGGGGATGGTGGGTATGGTGAAGGCTGTGTCGGGCAAGCACAAGGTTACTCGGGCGTCTTGTGGTGTAGGGAATTGAGGGGTGTCCGTGGTGCACGTCATGTTCTCGTGTTTGGGTAGTTTTGTTGCAGTTTTAGTCTAGTTTTTGTACTTTTTTTGTTGCTGTGTGCTGTTTGTTGCATGTTGCTGTTCATATGCAGCGGCAGGTCGTCTCCCTTTGGCGGTTTGGGATATCAAAGAAGGGTTTCCAGCAGGAGAAAACAAATATTTGCCGGCGTCTGTGGCTGATACTTTCACGGTTTGTCGCCGAAATGGGCTGTCTTTTTCTATATATGTAATGCACAACATACTTTATTTTCAAGCAAGTCGGTGAAATAAATGCCCACATATGTCACACAGGGTATTTGTGGTCAATCTCCGCGGTTGTACACATCAAATAGCCTAAAAAAACGAGCTTGAAATGGCCTTAAAAACACGTTTTATCGCCGTTTTTCCAAAGGGGGGGGAAGTGTTAGCCCCATCCCCGTTTTTTTTCATACATTCTGCAGTATAAAACACTACATATCGCTGNCTGCAGTCTGTGGCTAATATTTTCACGGTTTGTCACTGAAATAGGCTGTCTTTTTCTATATATGTAATGCACAGCATACATTATTTTCAAGCACGTCGGTGAAATAAATGTCCACAAATGTCACACAGGGTATTTATTTGTGGTCAATCTCCGCGGTTGTACGCATCAAATAGCCTAAAAAAACGAGCTTGAATATGGCCTTAAAAACACGTTTTATCGCCGTTTTTCCAAAGGGGGGGGAAGTGTTAGCCCCATCCCCGTTTTTTTTCATACATTCTGCAGTATAAAACACTACATATCGCTGAAACCTCAACATCCCGACGTCGGGTTCTCAATTTAATCCGCGGAACTGGGCCTACACCCCACCAAAGCACCCTGACACACTTTTTGGAGCTTTAGTCTTCAGGGACCATCATCAACTGGACCGCTCGACACTCTAGCGCGGAAGGCGACTAAGTCACACGCAGCTGTCATCCGTACGCAAGGAAGTAAGCAAGAGATGCCGAACACCCTTAGCAGGATGCAGTGCACCCTTCATGCGACTCGCTGAATATCCCTGGTCCGGTGAGAACCCGGCGTGCTCCGTCCCGACTTTGATGGGACGCGTGGTCAATGGACTAACGACTACGGCATGCACGCGATGAGAACCCCCCCCCCCCCCCCCCCCCCCCCCCCCCCCCCCCCCCCCCCCCCCCCCCCCCCCC